TCACAAACTTGTAAGGATTTTGCTCTTTAATTTTTATTAGTTATGCATGTAAGCAACTTAAACTGTTCTATCAATTTATTCTTCAAAAGAACATTTCCTCACCGCTTCCTATTTCCGCCTCCACAGAGGCACACCACTTTCCACTCTGAGCTGATTATTTTATTTTAGCATTTACCTCCATATCTTTCTCTTTTTTCTTGGCCATGCCATGGGACTTGTGTGGTCCTAACTCCCCACCAGGGATCAAACCTGAGCCCAGCAGTGAAAGAGACAGTACACGAGGCAACATTTTTGAAGACCCTATTTGACTGACAGTTTGGTTGGATATAGAACGATGGATTGGTAATAATTTCCCTGCACAATTTAAAGTCACTGTGTTGTTACCTGCCAGTTTTGCTGTTGAGAAGTCTGCAGTCATTTAGACTCTTGATCCTTTGGACGTGACCTGTATTTTTCAGGAATGGCAACTGGTAGAACTAAGTGAGCAAAGGGGAACCAGTAGAGGGGGACAGATTACACGGGGCCGCATCAGTTTTGTGGGTTTTTTTTTTTTTTGGGTTGTGCAGCATGACATGCAGGACCTTAGTCCCCCAAACAAACGATCAAACTTGTGCCACCTGCAGTGGGGGTGCAGAGTTTTAACCACTGGTCCACCAGGGAAGTCCCTAGTTTTTTTTCTACTACAAATGTCTGAATGGGGAGCTACTGCATACCTGTGAGTAAAGGAGGTATATTACCTGACTTACCAGAAATAAATAATTTCAGCTGCTGCAGTGAGACTACAGTTGAAGAGAATGGAGATGACAAGAGGATAGAAGCAAGGAGCCGGACCAGAAGGCTAATTTCAATAATCCTGGCAAAAATGACAGTGTAGGTTAGACTAGGGCGTTGCACTGGAAGTGTGAGAAAGGGATGGATTCTGGATATATACTTTTAAGGTTGATCCAGAGGGACTTTTTAAAAGTGACCCCTGGTTTCTGCATTAGCCACTGGGTTGAAAGAACAGAGTAAAGATGATGCAACACTGGTGCCTGAGCAGCCAGAATAATGGAGTGAACGGAGCAGGCAGAGAACTGCCTGGCAGTTCTATGGTGAGGACGCTGCTTTCACTGCCGGGGCCCAGGCTCAGTCCCTGGTCAGGGAACTAAAATGTTGCACGGCGCGGTCAAAAAAAAAGAGAGAGAGAAGACAGAAGTATAAGGTTGGGGCTAAGAAATGTCTAGTTATGCACACATCAAGTATAAAATGTCTACTATTTGTCCAAATGGAGATAGTGTATCAACAGCTGAATATACAAGAGTCTGAAGTTCAAGAGCAGCAGCTTTTTGGCTGGGCCAGTTTTAAAAGCATGGGCTCATTTTGGTATTTACATTCGCTTTGATCCCTTTGATCATCTTCCATGCCAGTCTGTTCAATGTGAGCCACATAATACTTTTTTAATATGTCCTTTTTCTGCTTAAATCAGTTAGAACTTCTATTACTTACAAGGAAGAACTTACAACTGATATAATTACTAAGTCAGGAAGATAAATTAGTTTTTAATTGTGAATGAACAGTACTTTATTAAAATGGAAAGGAATTAATGGTAAAATCTTAACTGCTCCTAAGCTGAATATATTCCTTGGCAAAGCCCACCTATTTCCACAAAATAGGCCAAACAAAACTGCAACTCATTAGCAACGTACAGCTAATGAGCTAACCATAACCAATCATTAAAATCCTCAGGTTTCAAGTTTTTACTTGCTATTAGCATTTTAAATTCTCAGGAACTGGTAATACTCTAACCTACAAGAAAATCCAATTTTATTATACATGAAATTGAAAATAACAAAAGTTCCAAATTAGGACCTGAAATTAATGAGACGTTACTTTATTACAAAGATAAATTAAATGTCCAGTTTTTTAAAAAATAAGAATCTCTGCCCTGTCATCACACTGTAACACAGTATTATTATACCTGTGAGTTTCCTGAGCATGGAGACATGTACATTCTGGTAGCTATAACTAATAAAGAAAAATTATATTAAAAGCAGATAAGCTGCTTTTAAAATATAGGCTGTAGAGTTAAGAGTTCTACAAGGTGATAAGACAATAGGTACTGTGAGAAAAGGATCCTGTGACGTGTAAGTAGAACAAAACACATGCATGAGAGGTAGAAAAGAAGCCCAATGTATTACAGGAGGAATACTGGTAACATTTAAATGAAAATGTTGATAGCTTTCATTAGATACCCTTTTTCTGATTATAAGATTTATTATCACAGAAAACACAGGAAACTATAAAAGAGAAGCCTCACCCTATATTCCACAATCCAGAGATTGCCAATTTTAACATTTGGATGTATTCTCTTCTATTCTTCCTATGCACACATCTATATGAGGTATGTGTGCTCACAAAAGCAAGATCATACTAAACACCATCTGTGTATCTTTTCTTTCTTTTCATATAACACACATTATTTCCCTTGTGTTTTTAAATATTTTTCAAATACAACTACCGCAAACAAGATTTTATAGTATAATTTCCATGATATAATCACTGCTCTACTAGTTGACATTTAGGATGCTTATAACTTTTGATTACTATAAATAGTATTATTCAGAAATATTTGAATTTCTGAATTTAGAGACCATATTTCTAAAGACACTTCTTTAGAAACAATGTTTAGAAAGCACTTAAATACCAACAAGGACTGAGCGACTGAACTAAACACCAACAAAGAGTAGTTATGACCCCAGAATGTTGCTTGATTCTGAATTTAAATAGAAGAATACAAATGAAATAAAAATTAAATGGCACAATTCAACATCTATCAAACTATCAGCATGCTATACACAAGCGGATCATTCATCAGTAATTTGTACTGATGTGAAAATATCTAGCACACCCTAAGAGATGTGGACTTTTAAAAGATTTGTAAAATCTGAAATCCATTTTATCACAAAATAACTATTGCAAACTAAGATTGCTATAAATAATATACCATCAAACATGAAACAATATGCTCATTAAAACCAAGCTAACATGGCTTCCCTGACAATCTACTAGAGAGAAGAGGCCTGCACAGGGAACCCTTAAGAGCAGGGCTTAGTTTTAGCTAGCTCTTAGAAAGCAGCAAAGTGAATAAAATAAAGTGCGTTAAAACTAAAAAGTATTATACTAAAAAATAAGAAGAGGTAGCAATCCTCATTAAAAACTAATCTCCTGAGAAATTTTACTACAAATAGATGACAAGTCTATCTTTTGTTCCTAACACCACAGTTATTTGAAAAAAGTCTGCCTCATATTTGGTTGAATTAAGACATTAAAATTATCAGCTTAAACATTACAAATAAACAGGAGAGATTTATTTACTAATTTATTTTGCTGGGCCACACAGCTTGTGGGATCTTAGTTACCAGACCAGAGAATGAACCCCGGCCCGCTGCAGTGGAAGTGTGGAGTCCTAACCCCTGGACTGCCAGGGAGCTCCCAGACTGTGCTTTTTAAACTCTCCTCTCCTCAGACTGGCGCTTCCCATGTGGCGCCACCAGTACAGAACACGCCTATCAATGCAGGAGACAGAAGAGACTCTGGTTCAGTCCCAGGGTCACGAAGATCTGGAGGAGGGTTCAGCAACCCACTCCAGCATTCTTCTCTGCAGAATCCCATGGACAGAAGAGGAGCCCGGTGGGCTGTGGCCCACGGGTCACAAAGGGTCGGCCATGACTGAAGGGATTATTCAGACAATCTATTCTTATGTCAAGTTATCAGAGAGATGATACTGCCATATTTCTATACTCAAAAAAGTCTGATTCAGTAAAGAACTGCTGCTGCTGCTGCTGAGTCGCTTCAGTCGTGTCCCACTCTGTGCGGCCCCATAGCCGACAGCCCACCAGGCTCCCCCGTCCCTGGGATTCTCCAGGCAAAAACACTGGAGTGGCTAGCCATTCCCTTCTCCAGGGGATCTNAACAATTCAAGTATTTCAGCAAATGTTTGAACCAGCCTTTATTAACTGGCCTATAATAATATACCCCATACAAGATTATTATAAACAAACAAAATGTTATAATCAATAACATAGTAATAACATACAGCTGACCTTTGAATGAGGAGGTAGAGACGCCAACCCTCCTTACAGCTGAAAATCCACGTGTAACTTATAGTCGGCCCTCTGTACTGCAATTCCTCCAAACAAGCAGTCCTACATCCTCAGATTCAACCAACTGTGGGTCATGCAGTACCGTACGTAGTATTTACTACTGAAAAAAATCTGCACATAAACTGACCCTCGGTGTTCAAACCCATTCAAGGGTTTGTTGTTCAAGGGTCAATTGTATTTCATTGTGAATATTAATGAAGGCTTTCCTTTTGTACATAAAAATATAAAGTATAATATACAATGTATACATTATATATATACATAAAAATTACATATTACATAAACAGCCTTGTGTTTAAGGTTATAGACTAGGAGAGTCTTTAAAAACCTACAATTGAAATCTCACTATACTCCAATAGAACCTATCAAAAACTTGTTCAGAAATCTGTTTCTGTCAAATAACTGCTCTGGATTTGGAAATGATCTATATAGAAATCTTTATTGTCATGAAATTTTTTAGAGTAGGATTTGAACTATATCATAAGAGGATGTGTGATTTCATAATAGCTTATCAGGTAAACGAGCTCTGTATAACCAAAAACTATACACATTAATACAGAAAAGTCTACATAAATGTGTGTTTCCCACTCATGATGGTGAATTCCACCAACATAAATCTACTATAAATGAAGACAGCAATCTGTTTTTATCTCTAGTAAAAGAAATGCTCGGAAAAAACAGAAAAGGAAATGCTGGCAAGCACTGTAACTATTATGACTTAAGCCACTGTGGAATTTTCATTATGAAGTAATTTTTAGAGCCCATCGGATGAAAATTTTCCAATAACCAACATTCTCCCAAAAACAAGACAGACGGGGTACAGTTCAGTTCTGAATAGGACTGTCCTGTTCATCTCACCAGATTGATCAGCCTTCTCATCGCATGTTCATGAGAGCAAACACATTCACAGGGATCGAATCCACCTTCTGCCATGATTACCCAGCTTGATTTAACTTGACTGTTTAAATCTAGGAGGAAGGAAAAAATATCATAAGACTGCTATTCAGAGTTACTCTTTCTCTTGAGCTATGAAGACTTCATGTTATGTATAGATTCATAATAGTTCTCTTTATAGTTCAAATTTATTGACTTGTATCTATCAATTACTAATCTTAAATGAATTATGAATCTATACAAATGACTGGCTACCACTTTATCACCAGACTGATTTTCTATAAATGCAAAAAGTCTTCATATACTCTCCTGGTCCCACCTGTGAAGATGATGCTATTAGAGCCCTATTCTGCTCAATCACCTAATCCTTTAACTTTGTCAGCCTCAGCACTGCTATGGACTGAATGTTTGTGCCAACCGCTGCCCACACCCCTCCCCAGACTCTTATGTTGAAGCTTTAATCCCCAAGGTGATGGTATCTGGAGGTAGGATGGTTGGATGGCCATGGTCCATGGACATCATGCACCATGGTTGGATGGTCCATGGACATTAGTTTGAGTGAACTCCAGGAGACAGTGAAGGGCAGAGAAGCCTGGCGTGCTGCAGTCCATGGGGTCACAAAGAGTTGGACATGACTAAGCGACTAAACCACTACCACTACCTTTGGGAGGTCATAAAATTATCAGAGTAGAGCCCTTAGTCCATTAAAGAAGAGACATGATAGCTCTTTCTTTGACATGTGAAGATACAGCAAGAAGGCATCCACCTACACATGGAGGAAGAGATTCCTCACCAGACACCTTAATCACAGGCCTCCCAAAATCCAGAACTGTGAGAAATAAATGTCTGTTATTTAAGCCATTCGGTTTGTGCTGTTTCACTAAAGCAGCCTAAGCTATGTCAAATGGAGAAGAAAATGGCAACCTGCTCCAGCAGTCCTGCCAGGATAATCCCATGGACAGAGAAGCCTAGCAGGCTACAGTCCGTGGGGTCGCAGAGATTTGGACACGACTTAGCAACTGAACAACGGCAAAGCCATGTCCGCTTTACAGTCTGTATCTTACCAGAAAAGTCCTCTGAAAAGAAAAAAAAATGAGTTATCTAAAACGATATCATTGTTGGGGGGAGGGAAGGGGAGGGGCATGAATTGACAAGACAATGGCCAGGAAATGACTGGGAAGACTTTGAAACAAGTGAGGAGATTTGTCCAAGGTGGCAGGGTAGAAGGACATCCCTCTTCTTGTGACAGTACTGAAATCACAACTACCTGATGAACCACCATCGACAGGAAGACACTGGAACCCACCAAAAATAGATACCCAACATCCAAAGACAAAGGAGAAGCCACAATGAGATGGTAAGTGGGACACAATGATGATAAAAATCAAATCCTGAAACTGCCTGGTGGGTGATGCGCAAACTGGAGAACAATTACGCCACTGATGTTCTCCCACTGGAATGAAGGTTCTCAGCCCCACAGCAGGGTTCGCATCCTGGGGGGGTCTGGCAACAGGACTAGGAATCCCCAGAGAATCTGACTGTGAAGGTCTGCTGGATTTGATTACAGAACTTACACAGGACGGGGGAAAGCAGAGACTCCCTCATGGAGGGCACATGAAGTCCTGTGTGTAGCAGGACCCAGAAGAAAGCAGCAGTGACCACAGAGCCTGTCTGCCAGTGTTGGCAGGTCTCCTGCAGAGGCGAGGCGCGGCTGGGGCTCCCTGCCAGGGACAAGGGCACTGACAACAGCGGTGTGGGATGAAAGCCCTCTCAGAGGCCAGCAACAGCCCACTATACAGCCTGTAAGCTCCAGGGCTGGGTCCCCTCATGCCAAACCATGATCAGGGAGGGAACACAGCTCCACCCATCTGCAGACAAACAGATTCAAGTTTTATTAAACTTGCCCCCCCACCACCACTAGAGCAAGACCCAGTTCTACCCACCACCAGTCCCTCCCATCAGGATGCTTGTACAAGCTTTTAGATAGTCTCATCCACCAGAAAGCAGACAGAAGAAGCAAGAAGAACTACAATCCTGCAGCCTGCAGAACAAACCCACAAATGTCAGAAAGTCAGACAGACAGAAAAGGCAGAGGATTATGTCCCAGATGAAGGAACATGATAAAATCCCAGAAAAACAACTAAATTAAGTGGAGACAGGCAACCTTTCAGAAAAAGAATTCAGAATAATGATAATGAACACAAACTAGTATCTTGGAAAATGAATGGAGGCAAAGACTATGAAGATGCAAGAAATGTATAAGAGAGACCCGGAAGAACTAAAGAGCAGTGCATCAAATCACGGGGGGGAAAGATAAGCTGTTCCAAAAATAGTGTTGGGGGAAAGCTGACTCCTCACCCTCATTCCTAAAACAAAGCAAATTCTAGATGCATGAGCAATTTAACTTTTTAAAGTGAGGCCACACGCAGAAATAGTCAACCAGAGCAATGGATCAGATCAGAATGCTGACAAACTGACCTATGATTTTACCAGAATTTTGAACGTAATAAAGGTGGCACTTATTTTCAGAATATTTATAAAAGTTATTCTTAGAAATATTTACTCTATCTAGACACATATGTATTACTTGAATTTATTTTTCATAACAACTTCACTGAGATAAATCATATACTATATAGTTGAGGTGCTGAAAATGTCCTATTCAATATTTAGTATATTCTCAGAACTGTGCGATCATTGCCACAATTTTAAAATACTTCATAACTCCAAAACAAAACCTTTACCCATTAGCAGTCACTCTTCACTTTCCTCTCTTCTTCCCAGTACTAGGTAATCACTAACTGGCTTTCTGTCCCCATGAATTTGTCTGTTATGAACAATTCATGTAAATGGAATCATACACTATATAGTCCTTTGTTATTTGAATTCTTTAACCAAGAATTACTTGTTATTTATGGACAAGCAAATTAAAGACACTTTAGCCTATAAAGAATCTGCCTGCAACGCAGAAGATGCAGGTTCGATCCGATCCCTGGGTTGGGAAGATCCCCTGGAGGAGGAAATGGTAACCCACTGCAGTATTCTTGCCTGGGAGATCCCATGACAGGCTGGAGTCCATGGGGTTGCAAAGAGTCAGACATGATTGAGCAACTAACACTTTCACTTTTCATTCTAAAAAACAAACTTCAAAGGACTACTGTGTTGTTGGAAAAGACTCTTGAGAGTCCCTTGAACTGCAAGGAGATCAAAGCAGTCAATCCTAAAGGAAATCAATCCTGAATATTCATTGGAAGGGCTGATGCTATAGTTGAAGCTTCAATAGTTTGACCACCTGATGCAAAAAGATGACTCATTAGAAAAGACCCTGATGCTGGGAAAGACTGAAGGCAGGAGGAGAAGGGGACGACAGAGAACGAGATGGCTGGATGGCATAACTGACTCAATAGACATGAGTTTGAGCAAGCTTCAGGATATGGTGAAGGACAGGGAAGTCCAGCATGCTGCAGTCCATGCAAAAAGTTGCAAAAAGTTGGACATGACTGAGCAACTGAACAACTGTGTTATACATATGGCATAGTATGTATAAACTATCCAAAATATAGTTTTCTATGAGAGATTACATATCCAAAAGTTTGATTTTGTATATACAGTCACTGAGAAAAGTTTCCTAGTTTACTGTCTGAGCTTTCTTAGTAAAAATTAGAGCCAAAATCTTCAGCTCTGTTTCTTAAAAGGTGCCATTTTTAACCATGGACTATTCAGAAATGGTAAAATAGTTGTCTATTTCTTTTAATTAAAGTATGATGCATACATAAAGGACTGGAAGAAAATACATCAAATTTAATGAGTGATCAGTTCTGGAGAGGAGAATATAATTCATTTTATTTTTTAAACATTTCTTATAATGACTACGTACATATGTATGAAAACTTTTAAAATATAGAAAAAAGTAAATTTAAAAAGTCACAATATATAACCACAAGCAGGTCACTGGGATGAATGTAGAAGAACATAATTCCAAAAAAGTATAAAAGATCAATAATGTTGACAGTTAAAGTGATATTCATTACTATAAGCCAAAAATACACTGTAAAATAAAGACAAAGAATTTTAAAAAAACACCTTCAATATGTACCAGGGTTAATTTCCTTAATTTACAGATAGTTCTGAAAAATCAGTATGAAAACGGCAATCTAACAGATAAAAAGAGCAAAGAGCATGTTTACAAGGCAAACAGAGCCAAGAAGCAACTACAAAAGGGAAGAAGTGCAAATCTAAACATCACTTTTACCAGAAAACTGGAAATTTTACATAGATAACTTAGACATCCATATCCAAATAAACACGCAAAATTTTTGAATAAGGATGTCCACTGCAACGTTTTTTATAAGAGCAAAAAACATTAATTCAAAGTGTTTATCCATGTAGCTCTAATTAAATAAACAACAGTATGAATACATGAAGTCCTATACAGCTGTTGAAAAGAATGAGTCAATGTTCTATGTGATGATTTGGGGAAACACCCAAGATACACTGAGGTGAAATCAAGTTGCAGAACAGTCAGGGAAAACCTATTTCCTATCTAGTATCTTCTTACCTGAGCTAAGGGGAGTGGGTTTGAGGAGAGGAAGTGGAGTTCAAGGCAACCTAAGCTGAACAGTCTTACTCTCCAGAAGGTAGGAAATATCAAATACAAACTCTGACTACTTCAGTTTTGTCTGAGGCCACTCTGTGTCCACATGTTCTTTTAATTGATAAGCTTTCAACGTAGACAAAACCCTGAAAATAAACACAATTTCCCCTTACGTGTAGATAAAGCTCATCTCTGAAAGTCTGTTAAAGGGCTCGGATCGTGCTGGGTGTGGACACTCGCGAATGTCCACAAACACAGGTCCTTCCTCCTGCGCTCTCAGGGCCTTGTCAGGCCAATACAGTGTTGGTTGAAATTAGAAGATATAATCATAAGTTTTTTTTAAAATAAAATTCAAATATTAAAATGTCCGATGTCTATCCAGTTCTATAGTCCCTTACCACAGAAATACTCTAACAAAGTACTAGCAAACTGACTTTTATAAAATGAAGTGAGACTTGTTTTTTAGCACCTTTAAAAATC